AAAATAGGAAGTAGCAAAAGATAAAAATCTGAAAGGTTTCAGATTTTAAATTACGTACAAAGGAACGTTTTTTAATATTTTGTCTGTTGCCTTTATTTATTAAATATCATGTTCTTCGTACTTAAACCATAAAATTCATTTCAATAGCAATATCGAAAAATAATATGAAAATGAGCATAGCTTTAGAATTCCGGATACACAGTCTCGCGCGCAGAAGTGTTTTTTCCGTACAGTGTTGTCATTGCTCGCTTTGAAATCGTTGAGTTTTTTAATCAAAAATTCATTAAGCATACTAATAAATCAGCATACTAAATAAACCAAGTATCTTTATGAGTATTACACATGAAATAACTACAAAATCTCTCCTTCTCTTTCATTCTATATATAAAAGATGAAACAAAATTATTAAATTTAATTAAAACCAGTAGTCAAGAGATCTTTAAATTCATAATTCTTAATTAAACGCATTCGCGCTTTAATATTTTGTGTCACTCTGCAGCATGTTACGTCACCCTTTCTCTGCAATCTTAGCCCAGGAATCGCTGCTCAGGATTAAAACAGACTTTCCGAGCCTTATATATATGATTGCAGTTATTACGTATCGCATTTTGGCCTCAGCTTATAAAAGTCATGTCTATCAGCTAAAATGTAAACTGCGTATATAGAAATTGTGGGTCGCGTTTAGCATTCTTATGCTGTACCAATTTAAGTAAAAATATATCTCTGTGGAATGTTCCCTGTTCAAAAATAAAAATGATGTTTTAACGATCAAACCAGTTGTTACTTTAGCTCCAGTCAAGATCTACGTAGCAGTCCTTCTCGGCCTTGTCTAAAAACTTATTGGTTTTCTCCTTTCTAGTCAGCTCTCTGTTAAATTCTATCAACCTACCATGACAGTGAACCTTTAAAATATCACATAGATAGGTATGATTAGTTAAATAATTAAACATGTAAGCTTTGTGTAGACGACTGTAATAAGATCAGTCTTCACATTTTTCTTACCACAGACTATACTCGGTGTAGATTGCTAAGTATAGTCATTCCTTTGACTATACATTTATCAATCTACACCGAGTCTTTTAATGAAAAGATAAATACCTTATGTTTTATTTTATTTTATTATTGTTTATTTCCAGACTCTTGACGCGACGCCTGAATCCATAATCTGAATTCAATTTTAGGGTCACCCAATCATCTAAGCCCCCTTCCTCTCTTTTTCGCCAGCCGGAAATATAAAGACGTTTGGAACACCTCATTCTCTCCACCCCCCACCCCGAAAGCGATAGACATGATGTCTGATATTTATTTCAAGGTCAAGACTGTTGTAAAAGGTTTTTAATATAGTTAGCTATGTGTTATTAATATATTTTTCAATCTCTTGTACGAAACGTTCTCTGTTAGGGCCAAACAGACGAAATTTTTGGATAACAATCTGATTATTATATTCCTCGATAAAATTAATTTAACTTTTTTTTTCTGTTAGTTAAACTATAACAGCTCTGCATCTCCATTATAAAGGGATCCCCGCTGCTAAAAACACGCCAAACAATTTAGATTCAAACGAAGGACAAAACATGCCACTGAAAATCGACATAAACACTAAGACATGTGAATTGTGTTTAAAACGAATTATCCTAGATTGAAAATAATGTAACAGTTTTCGTCCATGCCTAGAAACATCACCGCAATCTGCTTTCCATGCTTAGACAGTAAAGGATACATTTCTGTCGATCAGGGGTTCCCAACCAGAGGGTAAGAGGTAGCATTCTAGGAGGGGTGAGATAATATTTTCATTTTTTATTTAAAATAAATTAAACAATTTTTTAAAAATTACAAGCAGGATAATTAGTTAAATAATTAAACATACCTATTTCCTGTGCATGAATCGATAATAAATTTGTCACGACTGACGAGTCAGTCTCATTTTGCAACGTAATGTACACTAATTGATTCTGAGTGCCTTTATATCTGTTCTGTCTCTAATAAACAATGAATTGTTACATTACTTACCTGTTGTTATTTTTCTTCTAATGAACTTGTAGAGACATTAGGTTTGTTGGAAAAGCAGGGGAGATGAAAAATTAGCAACCGCCTTCGCCGGGAATCGAATATACTCCCCTTTTTAAACGGCGATTGGGGTTTTAGGGGACCCAAATCCTGGGTGTGGAAAATCTTCATCCAACACCCTTTTAGTTCGAGCGCCACTGTAGAGACATTAGGTTATTTTGAGGGCGGAGAGATGAAAAATTAGCAACTGCCTTCCCCGAGAATCGAACCACGGTCCTCTGGAATACCGACCCAGCGTGCAGAACTACCACACCACGAAGGCACGCTAGGAAAGTGGGAGAAATACCTTATAAACTTCATGCATATTTTAGGTCATATTTAGGGTTGCCATACATCATATACATACGGAACTGTTACCATATTTCACTACAGTTTCATATTATTATTTGTTCCTTTTTTATATAAACTTTGCTTGAAACAGACATGGTCTGCAAGTATATTTACAGATGCAAAATAGTATATTGTTCAGAACTCATCTGTAATAAAGCTATGCCAGTTTTATAATTAAGTGAAAAAATGATGTGAGTGATATCAATTTTAAAATAAAAAACTGGTTGTAAAAAGGATTAGCCTTTCATCTCTTATATTATTCTGTGGGTTCATTGTACTAGATCGCTTAAACTTTATTGATTTTTTATAACTATAACCATTACCTGCCCATTTTTTTACATGATTTATTTATTTAGCGTTTAAATGTTCCCTATCAATGGTTGGCAGTTATGGCAACCCTGGTTATATCTCTTAAATTATTAATAACGTTTATATGTCAAAGAAAAGAAAATGGAATAATGAGGTTCCATTTTCTTTTCTTTGACATAATTTTTTGAAATTTGGTTTCATTTACACCGGAAAAACTAGTGATGTGCAAAACCCGAATGCATTCTTCCAGCACTGTCTTTTCAAATGCAAATCTGAAGCCATCTAAACAGCTGGAATATTTTAACAACTGGCATGGTGGTGCAGATTTCGTAGGCAATGATGATGACTTATTGAATGATTGACTTTCGATGAACTCTTCCAAAATCCAACTTTAGTGAGGGAGCGAGAATATATTAAGTTTTTTAGGAGTGCGGAACATGAAAAAGGTCGGAAACTCATGCTCTAGGTAGTCACTAGAAAGATGGAGGATTTATTGTAACATCTAAATACTTTACTGGACATTACAACACTTTACATAATAGACATACAGAGTACGTAATTAACTAAGTACTAAATTTCATATTTTAAAATTGGTACTGAAATTTTTGAACTACAATAGCACCTTGCGTAATGACCATAATCCTTTCCTTGATGGCGGTCGTAATCGTTTGTTATGAGGAATGCTGTGTTCAGTAAGTTGTTATGTAAATACTTTTAATACATCAAGTACGTAAATGTCACGAAGCATTGTAAGAATTTTTAAAGAAAACTAAGCACATTATCAATGTTGGCAATTATAGGAATTCACTCATTCATCAGTTGTAAAATTTATTAACATACATTGTATTATATATATATATATATATACGATCTCCAAGTTTTATTACCTGTTCAATCGCATTCTTCGAGCTTTGTACTGGAAGCAGAAGATTCAGCTGTCCTTTATTTACGTTTCATAAGAGGTATAGATTTCAAGATGTTGTATAAAGTGATTTAGAATTTGTCTTACGTTATTTCTAGTTTCTTCAGGATATTCTAGAATGCTATTCTTCGAACATGTTCACATTTCGTTATTTAGTAAATATTCGCTTTAAGAAAGAGTCTATTTTCCCCGAAAGTCCTTAATCGTTACAGCTGGTATGGACCCTTAGTAGGTAGTTTGAGGTATTTTTCTTCGCAGTATAAGAAACTTTTATCAGGGCTTCTCGAGTTCCTAGTCCAGGGCATGTAGTATAATCTTCCAAATTAAGAAATACATTTACTGTTCTTCTGCTTCTTAACTTAATATGATTTATATATGCATTATTATTTGAGTTTATGTACCATTAAAACAAAAAGTAAAAACAAATTTAGTCTGAGTTTTATCTATGACCAAATTTATGTGCAATTCGTAAAGCGAAACCAAGTGCCACGAAGGGCAGTTTTTAATTCATGGCAACCGATTGTTATGCGGAATATTGTAATCAATGTCTGGCAATGCTATCAACGATTATCAAAGACCAAGATTTCCGTTAAACTTGCCTGGAAAACCTGTTTATTGCATTAATATTGCATTGTATGCAGATCTTGTTTCTTAAGTAGTCTATGTTGCCCTGGAATATACTATAAACCTCAAAAACCATTTATTCAATCGACACCCTTTGTTAGTGCTTGACAGTACACAGACGGTAATATTATTAGCATGAAGAAAAGATCTTTTCTCATATTTCTCAAGTCTGTTGAAATTAGATCTGATGTGTAAGAGTGATAAGATTTGTATTGGATTTTGGAGCATATATTCCATATAATAAAAAAGATAATATTAAAACTATTTAAATAGGTAAACCAGCGTAACAATTGTAACATTAGTTAGAAAGCAATAAAGAAATCATGTGATATTTTTGGATCCATTTAATACTCACGAAATCCCAGAAAATTTCCAAAATGCGGAAAATTAATTGTGAAAATGATTGTTTTTCAAGGCAAAATGCTCTACGTTCCTTTTTCCTTTTTCTCGCTCGTTCATTTCCATTTAAATCAGATTGTTGCTCTTCCCACACTTGCAAAAGTTCGTACTCCCGAAGAAGATGAAATTATGTTTTGTCATCTTCGAAATCAATAAAAATTAATTTAATATGTGCGCCAATCTTAGGATAATTGTTGCCTAATTTTTAAATCTTTTGTTTTATTTCCTCTCATTTGCTTGTTTGTCTACATATTTTTGTCAGATATTTATTGAATGTTGACTAATGAATAAATTAATTTTTATTATTCGAGAACTGTTCCCGAAAAATTTTTTTCTTAATTTGTTTCAGAAAGTGCTCACGACCTTAGACTTGACCTCTTTGGGAGTGGGAAGCTGTGTTGGCACAGGAATGTACCTGGTGGCAGGCATGGTAGCGCATAAAGTGGCCGGTCCCTCCGTTGTTATGTCTTTTATTGTAGCAGCGGTGGCATCACTCTTCTCAGGTAAGAATACATTGAATTCCAACTTAATGAGAATTTGCATGAATAAAAATAATATTCTTACTCCATCAAAACTCTGGAATTTATTGGATCTCTGTAGAGAAAGGGAAAAAGTATTCTTTGGTTTGGTTCCCGAGATTTTACCTCAGAACCAAAAAATTATCATAAATAGGTACTTTTAGAAAATCTGATCCTTTTTTAGCGCATAAAATGTGTCAGCTTAAAAGTTGAAAAAAATTTTTTTCGAAGTACGTTAAACAGCCGTGCAGATTACTGCTATCGTTGTAAATGTAATAAAATATTGATTGCCATGAAAAATAAAAAAAGCATATAACGTTGCGCGCCTCAAACTTGCACGCAATCAAGAGGTGACTGTGAAAGCTGTATAAAACACAGAGTCTTGTAAAGGGTTTAAGTCCCTTTTTATTCAACGTAATAAATTACAATTGCGTCCTCTTGACGCTTACAGACGGTGCCAACTCGGCAGTCAAATAAAAATAATAACCTGAAAAGAAACTAAAGACAAGATTCTAACTACGAGGCTCTCTAAAATAACTAACTCACCGCGTTTTACAATACCGCTGCTAATTCAGCAGACTTGAAGCTCACTGGAACGATTACCACTACTTCCCGCCAAGCACATAGGCCGCAACGCGGGGTTCTTCAATTCTCGCTAACTACCTCCGCGCTCGTGCAGTAAGAATATCACACCGAACTCGTTTCCTTCTATTTAAATCAGAATACTTCCGCTGATAATTTGAATCCTTGCGCGTTCTACTAAAATTTACATACTCTGGCATTGGCAGTTCCAGGGGAAAGTAAGGCTTGACAGGAAAGATAGTTTAAACTTAAAATAAATGTTAGTTAAAATAAATATAAACCCTACATTTGCCGCTGCCAGAATTTGGAAAACTTGGAAGCAGGTCCTACAAACGACCTGTTGTAAGTTTCTCTAATTCTGAACTAACTGGCGAGAACCTCGTTTACACAAAAAAATCTTATGTAACAAATTGTATTCTGTTGCTCGTTTTAACTCTCTCTTCTTACAGCAAATTTTCCTGGACTTCATCAATCAATCTTGGTCTTTCCTTCCAGCATCTGGAAGGAATAAGTATCAGTATCTTTCTAAATACATTATAATTTACACTTTCTTGACACAATAAATTTTTGTTTTTAAACGATTCGTTTTTCTTAGTTATTGCTTACTTCACATTCATTCAATTTTTCAAGCATTAATTTAACTTTACCCTGGCTCTCCACTATGTGTGGTGTCAAACGGGAATATTCGTGTTTTAGTCTTACAACACTTCCCCTAACCACCATGATTTGTTAGAATTCAACGACCAAATAGACACACCTTACTTGACATTCTACCACTCGATGAGCTACTTTAATAGTCTTAAAAATTCAAATGTAGGTGGAGAACCCTACAAAACACATTCATTCTAACTTCCCCCTCATTCATCTTTAAACATGCAGGCTTTCGCTCTAAAGCATGACTTTATCTACAATTTAATACTTAAATTTTGACTTCATTGCTTTTAAGTATTCACTTTTAGCATCTACAATTTTATGCTTCTAGACTAAATTCTACTTTTACATAACATTCAAGTATTTACATACATTTACAAAAGTTTAATACATATGCTTTTTGCAATTTACCATAAAATGAATAAGAGAAAATAAATTTTTACTTTACTCATTCTTCGCCAAGCTGGCGGCACTGAAACTAAATTCTTCCATTAATACAAGAATACGAAGTTATTTTATCATTCGGCCAAATTTTGGCTTTAACATAACAGAATTAGTCTTTCGACCAACAGAAAATGCTTGTTTTTAGATTTTACACTTAAAGAAAATAATGCTTTTATGCTTTTGCCTTTAGGCTAAATAAAGTAAAACAAAACTAAGTCTCAACCGAGACAAATTGAACTTTCGTCAAAACCTAGAACTTCGTACTTATGCATAACATTTCGGAACAAAAGAGAAAAAAAATTATAAGAAGTTTTTAACTTATCTTTGAGTTTTCGATGCTTGAAACTCCGTCATTCGTTTTTGGCAGAATTGGTCCCACGTTAGAGGTTTCATGGATGTTAATCTTCTCCTTACTGCCCTCCGAGTGTCGTCCACGTTGCTTTTTCTTTTGCGTCCTCTACATGCTGGCCTCTTGACGGAGTAATCGTCTGGTTGTTGGGCTTTCCGTTTCTCCCTGGGACGGCTGGTCTTGACGTCCTCCTGTCTGGAGTCCTTCTTGAATTTCTTCTGTTCCTCGTATTTTTGTGCCTCCTGTTGGCGTTTCAGTTTCCGGAACGGCGGCCTTGCTGGCACCTGACTCTGTGGCCGTGTGCGCGTTCTCCTTGATGTGTAATTTCTCCTGCCATCCTTTGTAGGTGGTGTTTTTCTTTACCACGGTTTCTTTACCCGGTTCATCTGTATTTTTGTTTTTCTTAAACGCTGGAGTTTGAAAAAAATTATTTTTTCTTTTTGATACCGACGTCCGGGTTGTAGAAGTGTTAGGTCTCTCTTCAGTTCTCTGTTTCTTGGGTGGTGGAATAGTGTTGTCTCTGGCCCTTCTATTTCGTTTAGACTTGAGTCCTGCAAGAAACTTTTAAGGATTTCAAAATCATTTGGATTATAGTATTTTTTCACCTGGTCGGGACTTGCTTTACAGATTTCCCCTCTCTCGTTTCTTAAGATATAAGACTACTCCTTTGATTTCCTGAATTACATAGGGGCCTTCAAACTTTGGAGCTAGCTTTGCCATAAAATTGTCTGGGGCACTTCATAAAGAAAATTTCCGCTTCAATACTTTATCCCCAACTTTAAAATCTGCTTCACGGCGTTTTCTATCATAATATAGTTTCTGTCTATTTCTTGCCGTATCCGAAGGTTTTTAAGCGCCTGGATCAATGAGTTTTGTGCACATCCTTTTTGTTTAAAATTCTTGCTCTCTTTGTTGCACACAAAGAATAATTTATCTAAAGGCGTAATTAACTTTTCCGTCCTAAAAATAATTCTGCTGGAGTTTTTTCCGTAGTATCATGATTTTGCCGTTCTTAAAGCATAAGCTAATTCATTTAATGTAGCCATCCCAGCGCTTGTGATGTGTGCTACGTAACTTGCGAATTATTTTACAATATTTTTATTAACTCTTTCTGCTATGTTTAGCCTGTGGTCTATACGGAACCATTTTGATATGGCGTATATGCCAAGTCCAGTGCAATATGTTTTCAAATATTTGACTAATGAATTGTTTTTCCGTTATCGCTAATGACTTTTATCGGTGCACCGTATTTTAAAATGTATCTGTGTAAGAATGCATCTGCGACTGTTTTGGCTGACGCGCGTTTAAGTGGAACAATTTCTATCCATTTTGAAAAATGATCTACTATTACTAAAAGAAAACGATTTTTATTTAACTCGCTCTGGGGGAAGGGACCAAGGAGATCTATGCCTAAAATTTCATTCGGAAATGTAGCGCGAATGCTATTTCAGTACCCGGCCGGGCTGTAATTAATATCATTTATTAACTGACATTGATTGCAGGACCTGACATACGCCGTTACTATTTTGTATAATTGCGGGAAATATACCGCCTCGCGTACCCTTTTTATAGTCTTTCTGACCCCGAGGTGGCCCGCTGTTTTTTCTTCGTGCAACTCCTTCAAAATGCTTAATCGAAGCGAGGCTGGGATGACTGGTTTGTACTCGAGATTTTCGTTTGTTGTTTTCGTATAAAATAATAAATTATCTATTATTTCATAGTTTTCTGCTCTATTTCTTATCGCATCGAAATCTGTGTGCTCGAAGCTTTCGGGGTCTTTCAAATAAGCATAAATATTTCCAAATTCAGGATCAGCTTTCAGTTCAGTAATAACCGTATCTCTAGAATCTAAAATTTTTGAAGTCAACACAGCGCATTTAAGTTCATTCCTTCGTCGTCCAGTTTTATACGAGAAAGTGCGTCAGCTACATTGTTTTCCTTACCCGGTTTTATATTTTATTGTGATATTATATTCTTGGAGTTCTTAAAGCCCATCTTATTAACCTGGGCGTTAGGTTTTTTCCCGAGTAAAGTCTACCAACAGCCGCATGATCCGAAAAGACTGTTACTGGCGATTTGCCGAAATAAACTCGAAATTTGTGTACAGCCATTAATACGGCTAATGTTTCTCTTTCTGTAGCTGTATAATTCCTTTGTGTCTGATTCAATGTTTTACTAAAAAATGCCAGCGGATGGTTATTTTGCATAGAAACCGCACCCACCGCATAGTCGGACGCATCTGCTGCAATTTCCAGGTTTTCGTCCCCCTCAGGGAATTTTAAAACAGGGGCATTAATAAGCGCTTCTTTTAATCTTTCAAAAGCTGTGTTAGCTTCCGCTGTCCACGTAAATTTAGCCCTTTTTCTTTTGATTACTAAGAGTGGTTCAACAATATTAGCGAAATCTTTTATGAAAGATCGATAGTAAGAACATAATCCAAGGAAAGAAGAAAGTTTCTTGGCGGTGTTTGGCGGTGGGAAATTCTTAATAGCTTTTATTTTTTGAATCTTGCGTTTCTATACCCTTTTGCGAAATTTTATAACCGAGATATTTAAGTTCTTTAGTTGCGAACTTGCATTTTGAGGCGTTAATTGTAAGACCGGCCTCTTTTAATAATTTAAAAACTTGTTCGAGGTCATTAATGTGTTGTTCCAACGTACTACTCGTTATAATTATATCATCTAAATAAATTAAAGTTAACTTTCCTAGGACAGGCTTTAGAACAATGTCCATAGCTCTCTGGAATGTTGATGGGGCCCCACACAACCCAAAGGGCATGCGTAAAAATGCATAAGTGCCCGATTTTGTTATAAACGCGGTTTTGTGTATATCTTCGGGTCTCATAGCTATTTGATAGTAGCCAGACGTTAAGTCCAAAGTAGACATATATCTTGTCGATTTGATCCGTCTAATGATCTCGTCTATACCGGCAAAGGGTAAACTGGAAATTTGGTAATAC